CTACTGACTGTTGCTGACCCGCCCTGCTGCCTGTTGCCTGGGGGAAGACTCTGCCTGCCTTGCTTGAGGGAAGACTCAGCTGTCTGCTTCCTTGACCTTGGACCCAGTAGCCCTTGTGAGTTGAAGGGCTTTCAATAGATTAACTATTCCTCAGAAGTGAGTTGAACTGAACCCTCTGTACTGCTGTATGGATTAATTAGCTGTTATATTCCTTCTCACTGTATATATATATATATGTTTCTCTAGAGAACCCTGCCTAGCACACCATCTTATTTTTGCTTTCAAAAATCTAACACAAGTTCACTTAATGGCCATGACCTAACTGACCTCCAAAACCCTACGTGCAAGAGAGCATGGTCAATGCAGTCTTCACACTTCTGCTCCCTGGCAGTACAGGAAGGCACAGAGGAGATCGGAATAGATGCTGGATGGGCCAACCCACCCAGTGAACCCATGGCCACAGGATGACTTTTGCACTCTGGGAAACAACCTGAATGTGCAATAGAAATCCTTTTTTAAAGAGCACCGAAAATGCTGTAGAAATACATGGTATGACTTGAAAAGACAACATTGAAAAAGGCAGGTGCCAAATAGTGTGTAGAGATAGCTCCCATGAGGGCAAGAGCCATATATTCCTGTCTACCTGTGTATTCCCACTGCCGGGCACATGCTTGGCTCAGAGCGAGTGCTCAGGAAACATCTATCAGGTATTGGGTGGCTCCGTTTTTAGAAATGAAAGACATTGTTACATGAACTTTCATATACATATATAGTTGAATAGCGTAGAGCAACCCTGAAATGAAATACAATGTGCTAGCCATTGTTCTCTGTGGTGGAAATATTGGGCATGCCATTGGTTTTCTTTTGACCTTTCTGTACTTTGAGCATTGAATGTGCTTTAATGTCAATTAGGGAAACCGCAGGCATTATGTTAAAGCCACAGAAAGAAAACACGCCTAGCTCATTTCTCAATCTCCTGTAGGGCAGGCAAGGGGTCATGCTTAGTGGCCGAGTAAGCGAGTCTTCATTCGTTGCCTGAGGGATTTCTGGGCCTTTCTAAAGGACCCTGAAGGTAGATGAGCTTCTATGACTGCGTGACCCTCCCAAAGGATTAGTCTTGCGTGCCTTGCCAAGATTGTGCCAAAGTGAGGTCATGCCCAAGAGTCTTTGAGAGTTAGATCAATGACTCAGCTCTGCCCTCCCAGTGTACCCGTCAGACCCTGGGGCCAAACCAGCAAGCCCGCTCTGACATCACCACACCAGCTGTGCTCAGCCAGGCACCTTGGAGACCAGAGGGGGCTTCATTCTCTCTCCTTGGTACCCGAGGAGTCTCTTAACAGGGATGTTGTACCACCTTCATTTGCACGGCCATCATGGTCTTCAGACACAGGTGAGAAGGACCAGAATGAGGAAAGTGACAAGTCAATCCTCTTGGTGCCATCCCGAACCCCACTTGGGCTGAGGTGGTAGCTTCTTGGCCACCATTTGCCATCTCCCCACAATAACCAATTTCTGCCTCACACTTTCTGCCAATGGACAGGACACCTGGTGTCCACAGCCAGTCCTCTTCCTCCCTGGTCCCTTATTAGGCTTGCTAACCCCAGCCAGGGCATCTCTGATCACGCCCATTAGCCAGATGGGGAAACTGAAGCTCCCAGAAGGCAGGGACACAACAGAGCCAAACTGCCAGAAAAGGTATATGCCCCCACAGTTGACTGTGAACTTCAAGACTCCATGTCTTCGCCTTCATAAGAAGAAGAAATACAGCAACACAACAATGAAAGAAGAAAGACAGAGACAGGCTGGTCACAGAGGGATAGGAACTGGCCCCACTGAGGACGGCTGAGCTCACCAGCACTACAAACATATCCCACCCCAGCCGCTGCTAGAGACCCCTGCTGCTGTGGTGCTCCGTGCTGTTGAGTTGGTCCGCATTCCTAGCGACCCTCCACTCAGAGAAGGAAACACTGCCCAGTCCTGCACCACCCTCTCGACAGCTCCATGGTGGCAGCCAGTGTGTCCGTCCACCTTGTCCAGGGCCTTCCTCTTGTTCGCTGCCCCTCTACTTTACCAAGCATGATGTTCCTCTCCAGGGCTGGTCTCTCCTGACCACATGTCCAAAGGATGTGAGACGGAGTCTCACCATGCTTGCTCCTAAGGAGCACTCTGGCTGTGCCAGCCCTCTAATTCAAATGCATTGATTCTTCTCGGGTCTTCTAGAGAAACACCTAGCTGGGAACAAATGCTTTTGCCCTGACCAGCTGCGGGTGCCACTTCCCCAATTTGGCCTGAGGGTGATGATAAGCCCCAATTTAAGCTTGAAAACTCCTTAAGTAATGGCTCCTGAATTGTTGTCCGCAAACTGTGGTCCCCCAAACTCATCCCTGACCATGCCCCCCTCCACCCCCTGCTTACAAACTGCCCCATGGCTCTCTGTGGCCGAACCTGGACTTGCCGATATCTTCTGTTGTCTGGGCCTCACTCACTAGCCTCCTCAACTTCAACAGTTCGCCCAAGGCCCGTAACTCTTGCCATGCTGTTTGGAGTCCCCTTTCCCATGATTACCTGTGCTCTTTTTTTACCTCAGTGGCTTTGCATTGCACTCCTGTGTGCAGGCAGATCCCTTTGCATAAAATACCTTCCTATGCCTGTCTGCCTGTCCAGCTCCTGTTCATCCTGTAAAACCCAGCCTAAGTGGCATCCCCTCTGTGGAGCCTGTCCTGAGCCAGCACATTTGGCTTCCCCCGAGCCCTCGGCTCCCTCCACTGTAGCCCTGCCATGGAGTCTACTCTGACTCAGAGCCACCCTATCAGGAAGAGTAGAACTGCCCATGTGGGTTTCCAAGACTTTAAATTGTCACAGAAATAGAAAGCCTCATCTTTCTCCCACAGAACAACTGGGGGTTTGAACCACTGACCTTGTGGTTAGCAGCTCAGTGCATAGCCCACTACCCCACCAGGGCTCCTTCAGCTCAGAACACAGGTTACTGTGTATATTTTGAGTATCTCGTGGCCTGTTTCTTTCCTTGACCTCAGGAACTATGGATTACTCGTGACTCAGCACTAGGTACATAGAGGTGCTCATTAATTACATTAGCCGTTGAGTAAACTAATATGAAAGAAAGAGAAAAACACCCCTTCGCTCCTTCTCACTCTATATGGGTCTCGGGACAGCATGAGCCCTCTCTGTGTCTCAGTTTCCCTAAATAGAAGATGGCAAGAACCAGATGGCTTTTGGTGCCACAATCTCTCTCTCAACCACAAGCTGTGACAAGTCAGGAGCCCAAGGGATGACATCAATTCACTTGAAGCTAGTTCTGCTGGAGAGGAAATTGGTACACAGAAAATTGAGCAACCTTTAGGGTCACATAACAGCCAATGGTCAGGGTTTCACGCCTTCATCATCCAGTTCCCTCTAGAGCAGCAGTTCTCAACCTGTGGGTCGGGACCCCTTTGGGAGTCAAATGACCCTTTCACAGAAGTCACCCGATTCATAACAGTTGCAAAATTACAGTTATGAAGTAGTGACGAAAATAATTTTATGGTTGGGGGATCACCACAACATGAAAAACTGTATTAAAGGGTCGTGGCATTGGGAAGGTTGAGGACCACTGCTCTAAGGTCACCATAGCCTGCCATTCAGATGTAGCCCCTACTTCTTGGAGGCCCTCTGCACCCCATGCAGAGAAAGCAGCCACGTACAGAGGTCTAGGGTGTGCTGAAGGAATGGAATGGAACGGAAGCTCACCTGGCTGGAACAGCGTTCCTGGGGATAGAGGGACAGGGAGGTCCCAGAACAATGGGGTCAAACTGTGGAGGTCTGTAGGCTGGGAAGAACCTTGGCATTAACCCAACATGAAATGGGGGACCACTGCAGGGTCCTGAGTGGAGGAGTGGAAGGATCTGACTTGGATCTTAGAGGGCGCCCTCTGGCTGCTGTGTGGGGATGGGACCCATGGAGAGAAGGTGGGGACAGCAAAATGCTGGTGGCTTAGATCAAGTGGTACCAGCAGAGGTCGTGAACAAAGGTCAAACTGTGGAGATATTTTCAAGCGAAGGGCACCATGACTTCCTGACAGATAGGAGGTGGCATCTGACACAGAAAGAGAGAGAAGTCAAAGTTGACTTTAAAGTTGGGGGTCAAATGGATTGGTGGTGTTGCCATGCAGTGTGATGAGGAAATAGATGGTGGGATGTGAGGAGTGTCGAGGAGGTTGGTAGGAGCTATGGATCTGGAATCTAGGAGTGAGGTCCGGGATGGAGATCAGATGTGGCTGTTGTGAGCACATCACAACCTAACTTGTACTCTTCGGGGTTGGTGCACATGGTGAAGGGAATGGTGGCCGCATCTAGGAAGCCCTTCCGGGATGGAGGCTCAACAGCTGATGATGTGGAGGTCGCCACCAGGACGTGCAATCTTGGGGCTAGTCCGGCGAAGGACAGGCAAGCACCTGGAAGGACTTGGGCAAAGACACAGAGATGTGAGTCAGGTCCCTTACTGCCCTAGATCTGACCTCCAGCCAGGACACTAGGGCACCTCCTGACTCCTACCTGAATGAACATGTGGAGCCTCGATGGGAAAGGTATTTTGCAAAAAGTATGCGCTTCACAAAAACTGTGCTACACCCTACTGTGATGAGTAGCAATTGGGGTCTTCAAGGCGTTTGCATATACATCCAAGACGCAACTCTTGGTCTGTCCATGGCTGAAGCAAGGAAGAGCAAAGAAAAGATGTGTGAGAGCAGTGAGCCCGAATGGACTAATGGACCGTATAAGCCTCAGCCCCCAGGACCCGGGGACCCAGAGACCCAGGTGGCACCTGGTTATCACCACCAATGGCTCTGAAAGCAAACACAATAAGAAGGTCCCGGATGGAGTGGGAGAATGACGTGGAACGAAACTGAGAATTGTGCTTTAAAAGACCAGGTTGCTGGTCTGATAGAGATGATGGACACAGCCCAGAGACCATGGCCCTTTAGTAACTTTCCAACCTGCAACGGCATGGCTCCACTTGCAGGCAAACAACGGACGGGCCTGAAGATGAACAATGACCCCGGGGAGGTACGCAGTCCTTAGGACAACTCGAGATGAAGAGAGCAGCATTTGTGCAAGGAGAAAGCTCGGGACACAGGAAGGGTGGATGACACGGGACACAAGGAGGAATCAAGAAGTGTGCTGTTCCCTTGTGGGGATTTCGATCCATGAAAGTCACAGAGCAAAACGCATGGGCATTGTTGAATGGAAACCCGAGTTCATTGTTTGCTTGTTTTTTAAATTAAAATATGGGGTTTGGAAACAAGCTGGCTGGTGACTTTGAACTGCTAACCTTGTGGATCCCAGCCCAATGTGTAACCACTTCAGCACCAGGGCTCCCACCGAGGCCTTGTCTTCAGATAAAGAATTCCTGGGGCAAGTGTTTCTTCTGAATAAACCTGTGAGGTTAGCCCTTTGCTGGCCTCTATGACTTGGGCAAGGAGGCTGTGGTGCAGGGATCGAGGAGATACTAGCCTTGGGACACAGGGAAGAGGCGGGGGACCCCACCCTGCAATCTTGGATCACCTCTGCCTCTGGGCTCCCAACATGAGCACCTGAGGAAGGTGATAACCTAAGAGGGAGGCAAAGGTGGGTCCTGATGGGAGACTTTTCCCGACGACAAGACAGCATCTCTCTAACTCTCCATCTCCCACTGCGTGCTAGCAGCCCAACTGCTTAGGAAAGGACAGGGTTAATCTCACTTGAGTGGCTAGAACATGCACATAGTACTTCATTTTATTCTAGAAAGCTTTAAAGAAAGAAAGAAAAGAACCAGCCTGTCAGGTCTTATTTGGAAATCTGAATTTTCTGAAAATATTGGTGAAGAGAGGGGACTCTTGGCAGAAGGGAGGATGCTAATCTGATGAGACAGATGTGGGTTTTTTTAAGGACAGAGAGACGGAGTGAAAATTGCTTTTCTGGGATCAATCAGTCCTGGGTGAAGGCCTGTGAGGGGGCTGATGTGAAGGCGTGCGTGCGCACGCACACACACACACACAGGTTCCACTTCCTAGGAATGCTGTGTCAAAGGCATTCCCTAGACCTTTGTACGGGGCTGCTTTCTCTGCATGGGGTGCTTTCCCCTGGCATGGGGCCGGCATAGGGCTACATCTGAACGGCAGGCAATGGTGACGCTAGAGCAGTGGTTCTCAACCTTCCTAATGCTGCGACCTTTTCATACAGTTCCTCATGTTGTGGCGATCCCCCAACCATAACATTATTTCCGTGTCATTTTCGTGAGAAAACCAAGATCCAGGAAACAGGAAGAAGAAGTTGCTGACTCAATTGCCTGACAATAAACTTTGTTGGGACCCTCCCAGTGAGGATGCTCAATCCCCCACCAACGTGACTGAGACACCCGGAAGGGTGTGGTGGGGGAGACTTTGGTTTGAATTCAAGTCCTCACTGTGTCGGGGAGATAGCTCCCTTGGGCTCTGGAAAATCAGGACCTTAATCTCTCAATTCCAAAGAGTTATTGGCGAATGAAATAGGAGATGTGTAGGACATCAGCTCAGCTCTTTGTTGCACTAAATGGGCATAGACTTGGGCCAGCTTAACAGGTAAAAAAGAATCAATCCATCCATCCATTGAAGGGCATGAGGGTATTTACCCAAGAGAAATGGAAACGTGTGTCCACACAAAGACCGGTACACGAATGTTTGCAGCAGCTCTGTTCATAGCCCCCAGGACAATCCTAAGGGCCTTCACATGGAGCCTGTATAAACGGAGGCATAGCTATCGAACATCATACAACGCAGCAAAAAAGAGTGAATGGCCTCCACCCACAACCACGTGGGTGAATTGCAACTGAATTACGCTGCGTGAGGGAAGTCAGATTCAAAAGGTTAGATACTAAATGTTTTCTAGTTGTATGTGCTGCCCCTTTGCCCTGAGATGTATGCTATACAATGAAAACCATCTAATAAATAAATAAATGGCTACATACTGTATACTATACAGGGGCAGGCTTCAAAAAGTCCACAGGAAAACTCCATTATCTTTTCGTTCCATCTCCCACACACACACTTACTGAAGCCCCCTCAGGTGGGCTGAAGGGGAGGAAGGAAATGCTCTTTATCATGGTTGTGATGTAGTTGAATGGCTGCGTGCGTTTGTCAACCCACTGAACTTGCCACCTAAAAAGGGCGCGTGTTATTCAATTAATCATTCCTCGATTGTCAATGTAAGGACAGACAAACAAAACATAACCCCTACAATATTATCAATTCTGCCTCCATCAATTGGATTTTAAGAGAAGAAAACACTATGCATAGCAGGGCGTTAAGAAAAGGTAACTTCAACAATCACTGAAATTGTTCTTAAGATAAGGTGACCAGATTTTAACATTGGTAAAGTGGGACACCATTGACTGAGGGGTGGGGGTGGGAGTCTTGATTAAAAATTTGGTCTATATGGAGCAACAAAAATTTTCATAGAACGCAAAAATAGTATTGTAATATTTTTTAAATTTTAACATAAGTACAATTTATAAATATAATACATTAAAAATTATGTATAGTATTATTTTATTCTTTGGCGTATTTCTCATTGGAGTGAATTTTTTTTAGCAGATTGCTGTTGTTTAAAAGGTCATGAAATTTTTCACAAGAATTTGTTAAATTATATTTCACTCATAAAATGGCTTTCAAAGTCTCAACACTTAATTGTGAATTTTCTGATGTCCACACTTTATTTACCATAGAAAAAATGTGTTCAGTGACAGCATTAATTCCTGGTAAGGACATGACGTATTCCACAATTTTTAGTGCATTATTGTATGGAACATGGTTTGTTTCAAAATGATGAAATATTTATAACCATTGTTCTCTATTGTGATTTTTGCTGATGCCCAAGATTTAACCTTTTCCTTATCAATATATATTTTAATAATGATACTTCATTAAAAATATCATTTTTGGAAATTTTACTATATGGGAAATTTTAAGTAATATGATCGAATGATTTTTGCACATAACTCCAAGTACTGTCTGCTAAATTCAAGAAAATTTACGTATCTATGAAATAAATAAATAAATTGCTTACCTACATTATCTGAATAGCTGATTTGTTGACATCACTTGTTTAACTAGCACTAGCACACAGTACGATGTGTATCATCTGAGAGACAGTTACAAAATGTTTTCGTCGTTGCCAATGCCAAAAATGCCATTGTTCATTAAGTCCAAACAAAGGTGATCGAATTCTAACAACTGATCAACAATGTGAACTTTGATAAGCAATTCTCGATAATCAGTTCTCAACAATTATTTGTTATTATTCAAGTTTAACATTATAAAATTAACAAAAATAATATAAAACTCATATCCTGGCAAAATAACCACATGGCAGCCGAAAACCATATATTCCCTTCCCATTCTCCCGCAGTTCCCTAGCTTGTCATGCATTCTTTCCAAAAATCGGGACTTTTTGAAAACGCCGCGGGACGCGGGACAAATTGTTAAAAAGCGGGATTGTCCCTCCAAAAGCGGGGTGTCTGGTCACCTTATCTTAAGATGAAGTGGTGAGCTTTAGCCGTTATTTAGAACCTGCATCAGAGGCATAAGATTCAAAATCCCAGGAGAGAGCATGATTGGCTCATTTGGGACTTAGGCCCGCCCTGGACTAGGGTTGGGGAGGGGTCACATGAGTGACAATCCCATCACCCAGAAACAAAACAGGGGGCCAGCTGGCTCTTAGAAGAGGACTCCATCAACTGCTGTTCTGTTGCTACCTTAGTCAGTTACCTGACAGCTAGTTGGCTCCATCCAACCCATGGCAGCTTTACCGTTAGCACAACAAACATGGCCCGATCCCATGGCCATCTTGGCCATGGTTGGTTGGTTTGAGTGCCTTGTGGAGGTCCCCTGTGTCAATCCACTTTGTTAAGGGTTCCTCTCATTTTTGTGGGTCCTCTACGTCCACTGTGCAATCCCAGTTGCCTCCAGCCAGCTTGGACTCCGATGATTCCGTATATGTCAGAGCAGCACCAGCTCCGTGGGGTGTCACTGGCTCATTCTCTGGAAGTAGACCCCCAAGCCTTTCTTCTGAGGCAATTCTGGGTGGACCCGAATCACCAGCCCTTCAGTTAGCAGCCAAGCACATTCTGTGTTTGCACCACTCACGTCCGCCTAATCCACCTTAGAAGTCCACCCTTGTTGGGGTTTAGTACCCTGAAGACGCGGGCCCTCCAATCTTGTGAAGAGGGGACATGGTGACCACAGCTCCCCTCCAGAGGCGAAGGCCAGATTTCAGAATATCGGGGTCGAGGTGAGAGTTACCTCAGACTACGTATTTGGTTCAAGCAGAGGCACTCCCTCAAGAAGCTTCTTAAACTGGCCAGAGAAACAAATGGTCAATTCAGCCAAACAAGTGGTCAATTTAGCTGGACAAGCGCAGCTGCTGCCCTTAGAGGGTCATTTATTTCCATGAAAGAAAGTGTCTTTGGCTCTTATTGACCGAACTGGGTGTGTTGAGCAGACAGAACCTATGACTCAACTTTAGCAGAGGAAGATGTAGCAGAATTCAGGAGGCCCGTCTCCCACGGCCATGGGGACGTGGGCAGGCACCCCACCACCATCCGCCCCTTGCCCCAGAGTCAAGATCACCCTGTGTGACATTCTGGCAAGAGCCATTACAAGCGAGGGTCTCAGTGCCCGGGTTCTACCCCTTCTGAGCTACTCATCTCTGGCCTCCAGCAAGCCACTTCACCTCTCTGAATCTCAGTTCACACAGTTACAGATTTCTTCCGAGCACTTTCTTGGACTGTCAAGGAGAGCGGTGCTTTAGAAGCATTCCAAGCCATAAACAAGGTTGGATGATCAACAGAAACTCGGTGTGCATTCACGCACACTTGGTTGGGTTTTGTGAAATTGTGCCAATATTAATACACGGTGTTTCTGGGTGGATTGAGGGCCTTTTGTTTTGTTTTGTACATTGGTTTTCTTTTCTTTCTACTGCTTACCAAGACAGTGCCCTGCTTCAGGGACTGGTCCCTCCTGATAACCGGCCCAAAGTACCAGGGATGAATT